TATGTCGCGCGATAGTAATGGCGAAAGTATTTCATACCCGATCGCTATTTTTGCTCGACTGGCGATTTAGCTACGGCGTTTCTATTCACAATCCGATCGATGCGCATAGTATATGCATGACTGGAATATCTACCGCAATTTTTCCCTTTCGGAAGAGTTCTACAGCCGATCAAGCGTTCCCCACGATCTGCATGCTGACTACAGCTGACCAGAAAAATCTATCAATCTTCTTGTTTTTAAACATACGACTCACTTGCTATGTATTACTACTAATTAAAATATATGCATGTACTTACTTCATTTGTTTGGCACAAGTTTTGCAATTCAATAATGATTCGAATTAAGCTAATTCATTGAATCCTACATTTTACGCTTACAGCCTTAGCGAAAGAAAGAGCATAAATTCAAAATTGCATTACAACATTTTGTTAAAATTATTCTCTTAAAACAAGTATATTTCACTTCAATTAATTTTATTTTATTTTATTGTTTTATTTAATTAATGTCACATTGGAGAGAGAGGGTGAGAGAGAGAGAGAGAGAGAGAGAGAGAGAGAGAGAGAGAGAGAGAGAGAGAGAGAAAGCCCCTAGAAAAGTAGATAAAAATAATTTCTATTGAATTTATATATTTTTTAATAAGTTACTACATATTTATGAAATAATTCAATAATATTGTTGAAGTTAACACGTTGCTATACGGTTCAATTTAAAAGGTGTTCAACGAAATGAATAAATTACATGCGACTAAGTTGCGTAGACACGCAAAATGACGTGGATGATATTGTTCCAACGAAATAAAAACGAAGATACCTCTGATAAAAGTACCGCGGAAATAAATATGATCAACTTTTAATTAATTGAACATCAGCTGTTATCGGGATTTCGTGTTTTCTCCATTCTATTCTACACAAACGTACAAAGCGGAATTCAAACAAACGACGCTTATTTTTGGCTTGTCAGATCGAAATTAATTTATAAAACAATTTCTGTTAAAATTCAGATCCCCCAATGAACTTTTGTTAATAACTATATCCCTCGTTAACCTACGTATATCCAATTTAAATCGATATAAAAAATAAATTAACTTTTCATATCGGACAAAGTATTTTTATGAGTTTAAAAAATATACATTCAATAGACATAAAAATAAATTAGATTAAATGTGTATTTCTGTTCTGTGTAAAAAAAGATATATATATGTATATTATACATATATGTATATGCAAAGTAAGAATTAGGAGAAAGATTATGACACAATATAAATATGCAATAAATAATAACGGTAAAATTTATCTAAATGATAAATCAACATCTCGAAAGAAATAAGTTTCCACATTGTGGCTTCAAAATTATAAGTAATGGTTAACAAACGAAAAGGGGAACACGAGAAGGAAACTGGATACAAAGCGCGAATCGTTATTTTGTAAAAGTTTGAAATATAAATCGGAATTTAAGAACGGCGGGCGGTATTATCCGCGTCTCTTTCCTTCGCTCGGCTTAAACACAATCGATCATGGCTGCCGCGGAGATGGATTGAGGAGGCAGGCGTTATTTCAGAACAATATCCGTGGCCGATACGAAATTCCGAGGTCGATGAACCTGCGATTCGGACTTGGTTGACTGTAATTGGGAAGAACGTCTATGTAATTGGAAGGGATACTGTGTTCTAATGGACAGAAACTAATATTTCTCAGCACCTTTGATAATAGGTAGATACCAACTTCGGCCGATTCGTTTAGTTTCTCGTTTTGTGTTGCATTGATTCGGATATTTCATTTTCTTATCATCAATTTTATAATCTCGCATCGATCAGATGAAAAAAATTCAGGACAGACAGGGTTGAAAATAAAAAGTATTGCTAATTGTAAAAGTATTAAGAATTTTGAGAAGTGTAAAAATATTTTAACTTTCGGCAATATTTTAAGAGCAATTTTCAGAATATCAGGAATATCTGTAGATTCACAGTCTCATCTTCAATGAGAAAAAGAGAGATAAAGTTAGAGAAAGAGAGAGAGGGGGGGGGGGAGAGAAAGGAAGCTTTTACTTTCTGTAATAATTTTGTTCTCGTAATCAAGAATATTCGAAACAATCGAAACAAAACATCGTAGAATATCCCATACAATTTAAACATCAGCGTACGAGAGAAATAGCAAGGTTCTAGCCGACGGCGCAATTAAAATTTTCGGCAACCACCAAGTTCGGTAGCCGAAAAAAAAAACTTTCAAGCCTCGGGAGAAACTACTAGCCATTAGCGAGGAGCATCCCCTGCATCCAAGTTCAGCCTGCAGGGTGAGCGAAAGCGAAAGGGAGAGAGCAAGAAAATCGGCGAACCAGCACGAGGGAAGCAGGGAGGAGAGGGAGACGGCCCATTTCACGGGCTTTAAACACTCCGCCCCGGAAAGGAGAGAGAAAAAAAAGAAGGAAGGCCCGGTAGAATCTGATTCCAGCCATTCGCCCACTGCTGATTTCCTGCTCGCTGCTTTCTGGAAATAAGGGTGGAGACTTTTCGCGGCGGATGCGCGTGATACCAGCTACGTTCCCTGTTCCACCTTCGTCCTACATTATTTTCGTTTCCCCTCTCGTTCTGCACGAAAAGGCCTAGTTTCGAGCACTCTAAAAGAAATGACGTATGCGTGCGAAGGAAAAATGAGGGTGGAAAGTACAGAACGATACAAGGGGTGACGTGGAAAGGATAGGAGGAGACCTCGCTTCAAAGGGCGATTTGTCGACAGTCAACATGACAAAGACATTAGTCGGCCCGAGGGCGAGAAGGGATGACCCCTTCGGATCATTAAGGAAAAACAGTGGTGTGGAGGGGTCTGCAGGGAGAGAGGGAGGCGAGAACGCAAAGGCCTCGCCGGAGGTGACTGCGCGTCGCGGAATTCTCGCTAAGCCATCTCAAAGGATGTCACGCGCGGAAAAATTAATTTTTTCCCTACGTTGTCCTTTTTGAAATTCTCCTCCTTTTCTTCTTTCCTCGCCCTCTTCTTCGCCCTCTGTTTTGTCTCCATTCGTTATTTGCAAACAGTGCTTTTGATGAAAATTCTAGCGTTTCCTGTCCCGCGTGAAAGCGAATGCATTCTTCCGGACGGTTCGTCCTATTCGATGCGTTTCCCATCTTTTAGCTTTACCAGTTCGGAAAGGATCTCAGAAAGCTAGGTCGCTATTTTCGTTTTCTTTTCTTTCATTTCTAAAACTGCTTTACGGTATACACAATTGTTCAATTTAAAAGGACAGTATTGAACACACATATAAAATGTAGATGTAACGTTTAATTCAACAATACCATCGTATTGCTTTTATTATTCATTAGACAATTCCAAATTAATCTATTGACTCTCTAAAAATCAATCGCTGGATTATCACTGAAAACAGTGAACAGTCACTGATTTAAAGTTATAAGTATACCACAGCGATTTTCAATACTATGTATACTTATAACTACACTGATAAAAAAATATCTTAATCAAAAAAATATTACTTTACTGAAAAAATTGTTCATTAGGTGGCTCCTAATAGTTTGTTAACTTCAATTTAAAAATTATTAAATGTCAAACAGTAGATAATTTTAAATTTAAAAACTTTTACTTTAATGCTATAAAATGTTTACTAAGATACAAGTTTTACAGCGAAGAAAATTGAATTTCTTATTTGACAAAAACAATGATTTCATTTAATAAACAGTATTCTCTATCTCATGAAATTTTTAGTTAAATGTAGAAAATGTAATGATTTAAATTAGTTTACTTAATATAATACACAGATTTACTTGAAATTTGATATTTTTCTTTAAATAAAATAAATATTTAATTCAGTAAAAAAAATAATTTAAGTAAATATATTTAGTTCGTTAAAATAATTTTTTGTCAGTGTACAAATCAGTGACTGTTCACTGTTTTCAGTGATAATCCACTAATTGATTTTTAGAGAACGCGTGCCGATATATTTATGTTCCTCTTTATTTCTATCTTCCTCTCTACGTAAAGGAAACGAAAACCTCTCTTTTACGAGCAGCTATGCCGGCAATAGCATGCAACATACGAAATCCAGACCCAGAGTAAACGGAAAATTCGTAAAACTTAAGGAAAACGTAAAGAAATTCAAAAACAACGTCAGAGCCAAGACGACATTGACGGTCGTTTCAATTGATACCGCGCCCGCGGTTCTCTCGAACCTTACACAAATAAGTTTCAAACATCCGTAATCTTTCTCGTCTCCTTCCTTTTTCCTTTTCCCTCTTTACACTTTCGATTCGGGCTTTCAGCAGAAACCGCCAATAAATGAAAGAGCGAGAGAGAGAAAGAGAGAATTGGCAAGCTGTTCCTGCGACCGATCGAAGCGTTCTCGGTAGGAAAGAGCTTTTCGCAGTACGAAGAAAATTCCGGTGGCTGAAGGCCGTAGACGGTAGAAGGAGGATGGTGAGCAGACTTGGATCATAGATCGATTCGGAGACAAACATTTCCAATCAGCGTGGAAAAGGGACCGGCGGAGGTTATCGTCGCCTTTTCGCCCTCATTTTTTTGCTCTCTGATACAGAGACTAAGAGGAGGCGTGACAGGAGGCTGTCGATTTTTATCGAGTTACAAAGGGCGAGGAATTAGCGCTAAGCGAGAGTGCAGAGAGCTAAAGCTTAGAAATTAAATTTCCTCGGCCAGATGTTTCGTCCGCTCCTCACGAATAGACGTCTGCTTTTCCTTCGCCATGTCCACAGCCGGAAAACAATAATGGAGGCCGACAGGGAGTCGAAGGGGAGAAGGGCAAAGCCCAATCTCATTTCACAAATAATAGATTAAAACAAAAGCTTATTCATGAGCAATGCCTATCCAACGTTTAAATAATTGTACTATTTATAACTAACTGAATTAGTTAACTAACTTTATTATTAATTCGAATCGCTTGTTTGAATAAAGGTATGAGATTCTTCTCCTCGATTATTTAAAATGATTTCGATTCTCCTACTATTTGTATACTTTAGCATCGTTACAACTATATCCACTTACCCAAAATCACGAATCTTTGCCAGAAATACGGGATGTATTGATTTCCTATGCACTATTGGATAAAATCACTAGATCACCTGAAAAATAAACGAGTAAAAGTTTAAATTAGTAATCAGAATGAATAATTAAAATAAACAAAAAATCTGTCTTTAAAAGTAACATGTAAGAGAACAGTCTCTCCTCTCCTAAAACAGACGATAGGTAATCTATTAACTAATTAATAAATAGAAGCAAGTCTATGTTTAAAAGAAGCTTACAAAACAGGTATGCAAGCGAAATTATCAAGTTTATCAAAATTATGTAAGAAAAATAAATGTTCAAAATAACAACCGCTAATCAGAAGCAAAGACAATACGAAAACGTTTTTATTTCGCTGTATCTTGCAAATGCGCGACCAGTCAAGTTTCGATTAAAAAGAAAAAGAATCCCTGGAATCCTTTGTTTCGCCTCGGTAATTCAACTTCGAATTGATCAATTAACTGCGTTGCTCTTGTGCCACTTTCTCCACCACAGTTGATTTATATTCCAATTTCTGTCTCATAATTGAGACAAAAAGATATAATATTCGATCAACCGTGCGATTGCGCCCTTAACTAATTGTTTCCATATTACTAACACCTCTGCATTATACCTGCGACAAAACTAGTACATTAATTGCCGCAAGAATGGAGCGACATTAATCCGGTTTATTGTTCGCGGCGTTTGGAAACCGTTCGGTCGTTATTTCGCGGCTATGCACGAATATTGGGTCGCGCGCGCGGAATATCAAATTACGAATACGAATAATTAATCGGATGGTAGAATCGCGCGCCGTTCGCAACCACGAAAAAGCAGCTTTTTACTATTTAGAAACATAATTTTAGAAACTAAAAGCCAACGATAACATAATTGCGCACAAACAGCTCCTTCGAATTCAAGAAAGTTATTTGGTCATTTCCAATCGCTTTTTACACAATTTTAATTTTTAAAATATTCTACCTAGTCGCACTTTTGAGGAAAAAAAAAGAATTGTAAAAGGTGGCAAAAAATTTAACGTTAAAAGTTATATTTACGCAGCTATGATGTGTGACATGTTGGAAAAGTTGTAATGCATTTGATATTAAATAAGAGATAAAACTCTTAGGTGTCAGAACAAAATTGTGATTGACAATAAAATTCCTTAAAATAAAATTCTCGATAACAACGACAAATCTTGATGACATGTGCTTAATACTGTTAGTATTTTTCTATATATATATTTTTTTTTATGTTACAATCAATCAAGTAGTATCGTAAAAAAGATATTCGCGACGTTTTCCCAAATAGCACTCCACGTGACAAACGGTTGTTCCCGATTCGTTTATCGAAATCTAACCATCATTCGCGAAACTGAAACGAAACTGACCATCACTCCCTTCAATCAATCGTCCTCGCGGCGTTATTTACACTACAGCCAAGTTTTCATTTCGACAATACCACGAGAGCCTGTAACACGGTAAACGAATTGGCGGAAAAGTATTTTTTCAGAAGATATATCACTTTACGTACAACTTTATTTCAAAGAAGAGATAACAAGAACTATAAAGACTACTGCACTGACTACTGCAATCTCTTCCGTCGAAATTAATTGAAGATTTACGAAGAACTTACTCTTTATCCCGAAGGACATTTGGTGTATTTTTATTGCTAAAATTATGCCGCTATTAATCATCGACGCGATGGTAGCTAGACACCCCTTATACGCTGAAAGCAGCACGAAAGGAAAAAACGCGGTCATCGTCACGGAACACAAAAGTCACCCTCATGCAACCACGTAACGACTTCCGCGATGCTCAAGGGATGCTCGCGGGAGTGAGAGAAACCGTGATGTCATGGCGGAAATAGAAATTAGGGAGCTCGCGAAGCGAATCACCCCAGAACTTGTCTCCTAAACTACTGCCGTTCTTAAATCTCCGCGAGAGAGAACGACGCCGTGGTTCACATAAAAGTTATTTATTGGAATGCAGTTAAACGTTCTCGTCGTCGAGAGTGGACGGAGGTGCGTTTTGTCCGTACGTGTGCGTGGATGGCACACGAACACACTCGCGTCAAGTGGGTTTTCGATTTATTATATCGCCATCGGCGTTTTTCCGGACATTATTATCGACCAACGATGGAGGGCCACCGCGCGATTCGCCACCGATGTCTCTTAAATCGATTTAAGTATATCGAGGCGACATGTAAAGCTTCCAATCGCCGGAGACCCGCATTTTAAAAAAGCAGCAAATGTTATTCTACTGCGAGCTCTTTACGCATTGTTAAATTCGATGTCACTTTATCGCGATCTGTTTATTTACAAATTTCTACTGTAGAACTAACGTAAAAAATATGTTGATGGATTATTTAAATAAATCATTTTTCATCTCTTTCTCTCTCTCTCTCTTTCTGTCTCTGCCTCTCTCCCCCTCTCTCTCAAATTATGCACGCACACGTTCTAATATTACTTGTTTCATCATGTAATTTTTCGAGGAGAAATGAACTTCCATGACTTGTGTATTTTTAATTTCTAATTAATTTCTAATTAAAATTATATTTTATTATACATGTCTTTAAAATTGAATTTTATGTACACCTCACTTTATCTCTGTAATCTTTTTGCGCCTTTTCATATTTTCAATATATTCAATAAATGTGTACATTGTATACGTTTAACAATATATAAATACTTTTTTTAATAAGATTTTTTAAATTATTTTACATACATAACTAAAGGAAATACATATATTTTTGTCTCCTTGTGTAATGTCAAGTTTGTTATAGGATTTTCAACAAAAGTTAAATACGACCTGGAAGTGAATTATTATATTCCATATCGCGAGCACTATCAATTTACTTGCGCAACGCTTGTTTGATGAAACTGCATGCACATATAAATATGCGTCAATACGTTAAATTGCATTAGCCAAGCCATCAACCGAGCCTTCAAATTTGATATCTTAAAATGTTATAATAAATGCCAAGCACGGCTCTTCCATTCGATTACCTCTTCGATTGTTATCATCGGCATTAATTCCGATAAATTGTACATCAGTAATACTGTTTGTACTGTAAATGGGTATTTTATCAATATACTGTCAATGGAAAAATGAAAACTCAAATAAAATTCTGACTGCAGAAGCCAAAATAAGATAGTGCCAAATTAAATCTTTTTTCACCAGAGCAAAGTCAAATTGAAATTTATTTGAAAGAATCTTGTCCTCGTTTCTTCGGCTCGAAACTTACAATTCTTATTTCAAAAAGATGTCCCGACATCTTTGTTGAGAAAAATCGATCGAAAACAACAAAGAGGCTTGTAATAAAAATATATAGAGATATGTAGTTTCAAATTAAATCTTTTTCCATCAGAGCAAAGTGAAATTGAAATTCATTTGAAAGAATCTTGTCCTCATTTTTTTGGCTCGAAACTTACAAATCTTATTTCAAAAAGATGTCCCGACATCTTTGTTGAGAAAAATCGATCGAAATCAACAAAGGGGCCGGTAGTAAAAATATATAAGGATAGTTCCAAATTAAATCTTTTTTCATCAGAGCAAAGTCACATTGAAATTTATTTGGAAGAATCTTGTCCTTATTTTTTGGCTCGAAACTTACAAATCTTATTTGAAAAAGATGTCCCGACATCTTTGTTGAGAAAAATCGATCGAAATCAACAAAGGAGCCTGTAGTAAAAGGACACCCCGTATAAGTGTCACGAGACAAAGATCGGAACAAGCCATCTCGGCGATCGGTAAATCCTCGACCGTGATTTACAGCGTCTACTAGCGTCGTGGCGCCGTTTTCTTTTCCGCTAGCGCTCCTCGTCGAGGAATCGCTTTGCCGCTACATCGAATCCGACAAGCGCGACTCGCGGAGTTATAGACTGCCGAGTCAGATCTGTGAAGGAATTGCTTTTCGACAATTCGTATTTTCTTTAGCCACAAGCGTATTCCGCCCAATATTAAATTGATTCAATCTCAATATATCACTGTTGAAATGAAAAGATGATACGTAACTAGGCAGAGAGATATGCAGTGAAAATAAAATGCAAAGTTGAAAGACCAATTCGTGTTTCTTATTTCTCATATCTTGTCTGTTCAGTTCATTGCCAATCTGAAATATAGAGAAGAAAAGAATGACGAAACATCTCAGTAATCTCTATTGGTCGCGCAAGAGGGGAAAAGAACGAAGTGTACTCTCGTGCGCCTCGTAAAGAATCTCTTCGGGGTAACTAACGGTCCGAATCGGCCGGGATCTATCTATCGGCTCGAGGGCACCTCATTGGCGGGAGGCGTAGAATTTTAAGCGGCCTCTTAAATTTACTCGGCACCTTGCGGATAACAGGCGAGTTATCGAGTTATCGAGTTACGAGCTGGGGGAATAACGCTTATACCCGGAACGCCGCCGCTGCCGCCGCGCCGCTAAAGGCGGAACGAAGTTTTTGGGGGCGAGGTGGTCGAGGGATGATTCACCCAACGTCGAAAAACGCAAGTAGACGATGATGGAGGAAGGAAGATGGGAGGGCAAACTCCGTAGAGAATAAAGGATTCCGAAACTAGTCTTATTAAGGTTTCGTGGCAAATTTTCACTGCGAGAAAATTCATCCTACTAATGAGAGAGAGAGAGAGAGAGAGAGAGAGAGAGAGAGAGAGGGGGGGGGGGTAATGAAGCAGCTTTGCGCAAGAGGGACTTTGTCTTATATTAAAGAGACTTTGTCTTATATTAATGTGGTGTTTAACTTCGAAAAAGCGAGATCATAAATTCTAATAAATTTTTAAGGGAGCTTAATTTTCTTAGTTAACTTAGGGATTCTTATAAATATGAAATTTTACAAAACAACCATAATTTTTGTCAAATAGATATTAAACAAATACTAGATAAATAAGTATTAAATGAATCTTTTCACTGTAGACAATAAAATACAAAAACTTGAGAAATTCTTTAATCAATAACTTGAAATTATATGTTTTCTACATATTTTTATTTTACTCGTTCGATATCGTTAGAGTTTTTGTATGTATTTTTGGAGACGCAAAAGTGTCTTTAATAACGTTCAGTGTGAAAAGAATAATGAACTGCCTCA